ACAGGCTGCTTTCAGGGGTCGCCCTGTCTCCTGACCAACTCTGATTAAAAACAAATAAGCAAAATCAAAAACACCTCCCTCTTACACCCAAAAGTCACCATAGCATCCTCAAAGACAAGGATTGTAACTGAAAAATAATGCTTCTGTCCATCTCACTCCTCCCCACCTCCCTGTCCCCCCTCCGATCTACATCCAGACGCTAAAACAAGTGTTCTTGGCCCTTCTCCCCACTCCTCTATCACAGGCAATTTTCTTTTTCCTTGTTCATGTTTCCAAAACAGTTTATCTTTTTATCTCCTTGGAAGAAAAGTACTCCACAAATCAAAGGTATCATTAGTATTGTTATTATTTTGCTATTGAAATCTCTTGAATTCACTCTGGATTATTCATATGCTTTTTTTGGGTTTGCAGTATAATACTGTCTAAGTCACCCCCACTGGGCTGAACAAAAAGGAAAAAATTGCATCTTCAGGCCTAATCCCTTGCTCCACCCCATCTCCTGCTGGCCCTGGCTTCCACCAACACAGGCACACACCAGCAGGGCTGTTCTTTGGTACCATGCCTAGCTCACTGCTGCCATGTTCCAAGCCAGATCCTCCTTCATACACTCAAGAGGGGGGCCATGGTGGTATCCTCTTAGTGCAATCCAAAGGCGTTGACCACACCCACACTCTCTTCCCCCTGGGGTGTTCCTCTTCCATTTTCAATAGGTCTGGGTTGATCCTTGAGGGCTTCCAGTTAGGAGGAAAGCAGAACAACCCACACCCCATAAACATGCCCTCCGGGGTCTCCATCCAGAAGATGTGTTTTTAGAAAACCCATTGTCCTACAGTCTTGTACACTGTGGATTAACTTTCCAGGACAAAAGAAATGATTCTTCCTCTTCCAGACTGCCAGGGAGGGCATGCATCTTTGTTATATGACATTTCTGGATAAGGTCAAATGTTTCCAAAGTTGCTACTCTCTCCCCCAGTTTCTTTTTCTGATCCTTCCGGTCGAAGCCTTTCCACTCCTCCCTTTTCTTTGGGTCACTTATGAAGTGGGCATGTTCTCTTTCTGGTGCCCCTCCTTTCTTCTCCTCTCCCTTTGCTCTTGGCAACTTGCTTCCCACAGTCCGTCCTCCATCCCATGTGGTCTACTGGACCCCGGCCAGCTCTCTCCACACACCCTGGTTCACCCTGCTGGCTACTCAATATACTTTGTCCCCTTGGAGATTCAGGTGGCCATAGCAGTTTCCATCAGATGACCACATCATTGTCATTTGAATGTTTCCTGCCAGTCAGGACAGCACATTGGCTGCTTAGATTCTTTCTCCATAAAGATACCCCCCCTCCCCAAATCCTCAGCTTAAGGAATCATGAACAGGTGACAGTTTTCAGTCTCATCTGGAAGTATTCAGAGTATCAAAACGCATGTGCAAAGCCAACATGTCATCTGGGTCCAGCAGAATGCAATCTTGTGAGCATCAAGGCACTAAGCCGGGGCAGGGGGGCGGGAAGGGGGAGCACTCTGGGAATACCGTGCAGAATGTCAGAGTGGAGAAATTGCCTCTCTTCTGAAGCCGAAGCCACCAAGTCTGCATGATTGCACACCCCACCCACAAACTCTGTCAAAACTGGAGATGTGATAGGAAGCAGGAGGTCTCCAGTCCATGCTGAGACACGATCCTCCAAAGCTACCTGAGATGTGTGTGTGTGTGTGTGTGTGTGTGTGTGTGTGTGTGTGTGTGTGTGTGTGTGCAGGATGGACAGGATGAAGGAGGATAGGGAAGGAAATAGTTGTGGGTAAAGGGGAACATATATATATATGGCAAGTTCTAAGTTTATGGATGACAAGAGAATCGATTCTTCTTCACCCAGGGGCAGAACATGCCGTTTCTCCACAGGAGGCAAATTGTGCTGTGACATTATCCCTCTCGGTACAAAGCACGAACGTCCTGACAGCTGAAGGAAGAGGCATCCCCAGCAAGAGAGAAACCCACAAACAGCACACACTGGCAGCTCTCCATCCCCCACTGGGAGCCAAGCCCAGGGACGTTTGGCAGGAGTGGGAATGGAGGAATGCCATTTAGCCTTTCTACTGCCACCTTAAGAAAGATAAAGAAATATTTGATCTCAGTCTATACCAGAAGCCCCAACTTTGAAAGAATAAGGACACAGCATATTATTGACATTCATTATACATTAATTTTTGCTCTCTCTTATGGAGCAAGGGAAAAGTAAAGGTGACTATTCAACCAATCGGAGGTGTGTAGGGGGGAATGGTTGAAGTGGATTTTGGATGTCATCTTCATGTTTATTATTAAAGTTCTGAGAACAGTGTTTGGAGATCCTGTGAGGCAGGAAGCTTAGGAACTGTATTCCCAGAACTCAAGCAGTGAAAGGTGTTGGGTAGCAGATGGCCATGTTGCTAGTATGCCAGGTAAGGTCTTAAAGAGACCCTGGACACTTGTTTCTCTTTTTTTGGTGGGGGGAAGCTCTACCCTGACTCTCTTCACATTTCCTTGGAAAAGCATCCTGGGAAGATAAGGGTTCAGGAGGGTGGTAGGGGTCAGGCAGGATGCTCTGTAGGGGTGGCTGGAGTGTGTCCATATTGCAACCTTCATCCTCAGTCCGGGGTCGGGGTGGGGGGAGCACAGTGGAGGCTACATAGAGCCGCATGGATTAGTCCTTTGATGTCCTGTTGAAAGCGGCTCTGCTCTCTATCCAGTAGCTGGATGAGTACACAACACCAGGTAGGGTCGAAAACCAATACTGGAGCTAAGCAGCTATAGAAGGAAGGTTGAGTAGACTCCTCTGAGGGAATTCACAATACTCCAAACAACATTTTCAAAAAAAAAAAAAGCACACACACGCATGGATCAATTCAAAAGCTATTCATATCACATCATAATGAAGTCCATCAATCATCTTCCCCCTTGGCCTTTAATTGCAATAGGAAGACATTGTTTATGCTGCTATATTGGTATTCTGACTGGCCACATCTGAGGGGTCCATGGATTATGCATTGTTGGCCAAACTCAGAACACTTGGGTGCTCTGATGCTATAGTTTCTTTCTACTGGCCTCAGGGCTAAGGGTAGATGAAATGGAGCATTTAGCCACTGTAGGGAAATATTTAAAGATTCATAGGAGGCCATCAAGAAAAGGAGTTTGGTCTTGAGAAAGGAGTAAGCTCAGTTGAAATGCATACCATAATGGCTCAACGGAGGGGGAAGCACTTAGACAACTAACTATAGGCTTCTCATGGTAGCGAGGAAGTGCAATCAAGCACCCCCAAAATACAGTAGGCTGGCTAATAATTGCATAGTCCCATGCAAATGTGTGTATGTGTGTGCATGCGTGCACATACACTACAAAGGTAGGGGTTGGTGGGAAGATCCCTTCCTCTTCTCAGATGAATGAATTGGTGAGAAAGAGGCAAAAAAGAATGGAAGTCAGTGTGCATATGCATGCACGTGAATGTGTGTTTGTATTGTGGGTGTGTGTATATGCATGAGCAAGCACACAGACACATCCAAGAAAGAGGGTAATCTCACAAAACAGTAACATAACCCTATCTGTCTCTATACCAGTGTTCTGTGATAGTACTTCATTCAGTCTGGAAACTCTGAGGGAGGCAATTTATCTTCCTGCTGCTTATAGGAAGCCCCAGTGAGATGCACGAAACAATATGGACACACAAGCTTGCATGTGTGTGTGTGTGTTTGTGTGTGTGTGTGTGTGTGTATACACACATTATGCACAGCCATTATCCACAACTCCTATGGGGGAAGAACCCAGTTAAGTTTCATTGGGAGGATCATTAGCAAAGTTTGAGCTGCATGAACAGCCACCACCAGGACCAGTGGGAGAGGGGAGGAAGGAGGCCTGCTTTTGCTACATTTGGCTTCAATCTGACTGGAAGCAAGGGACACATGCCGTTTGCTTGCAAAAGCAGCCACCCGTGGTGATGCTCTGCTTTCCTGAAAACTTTTACCCTTCATTTAATCAACAGATGGACTTGCTCTGTTGTGGATTTTTTTTTTCCGAGAGAGTCCTGTCCCTTCTAAGAGCGGTGCTGCCTGGCACAAATGCTGCCTCAGATGGCAGAGGCGGCACTGGCATATTCCAAAAGAGTGGGAAAGGAACTGGTTTACTTGTCCCCTTCCAACTCAATTCCACAGGTGACTTCTGATGCCTTTAGCTAAGTAGGCACTTACAGTCCTTCTCCAGAATTCCTCTCCTCTCCCAACCACCAAGTCCAGCCCGGAGGCTTTCAGTGGCCAAGAGCCTAGAAGTGGCAAAGTTCTTTCCCAAGAGTTCGGCCACTTCTCTGCCCCTGCCTGGCTGAAGAATGGAAGCAATCAGCACGGGAGACGAACTTCTCTTTTATATCCTGAATCCAGGACTGTGGTAGGATCCTTGAATTCAGCCTTGTTCAAGGACCTCTGTAACATCGAATGAAACTCTTCACAGATTACTCGCAGGTCTTAACCCATGCACACCCAAGAAGTCTCCAGAACAACAACAGCCCTCTTCTGTAACCACACACCCTTGGCCAAGTTCGACCTTCCCATGGAGCCAAAATCTCCAGCTAAGTCAGGCTTCTCTAACTCCCCAGCCTGGGCTCGAAGAGGAGGCACCCAGAAGTTGGGAATGGAATGGCAAATGGAGAAACGACCTCATGCACACACCTGGTGCCCAAAGAACTCATCTGCATGGGCGAGTGCAAAAGGGATGTTGACAAGTGAGACAAGAAAGTCGTCTCCCTTCCCCTTCCCCCTTCCAGGCCCCCGAACCCCTTGCTTTTCCAAAGGCACAGGCACAGTGCCATTACATTGTATTTGCACAGGCAAAGAAACCACCTCGCAGCGCCTGTCCACCAGCCCGAGTTTCCCAAGCCTGTCTAACCCCCCGCGCCCCTAAACATCCCCCATTCCTGTTCCTGCCTCCTCGGGCGCCCTCCTCTCAAACCTCTCCGACTTTGCCCCCCCAAGCCCCAACAGCGCTGAGATCCTACCTTGACTGAAGAAGAAGAAGCAGAGGAAGAGCAAATCGAGCTGGAAAGGTTTCATTCCTCAGCGCAGCGAGGCAAGCCGGCGGGGCAACTTGGGGGTGCAGTTAGTTTTCTCTTGGACCTCCGAGGCTGGGCTGCTCCCGGTGCTCAGCCTTTGGCCGCGGATCTGCTCCGGTTCGCGCCGACCATCGGCCAGCCAGTCTGTCATTCGGTCCGTCCGTGCCTCCTCCCTCCAGCCCGCCCCCCCACCCCCTCAATCTCCCCCCCTCTCTCCCTCCTCCGATCTCTTTGTGCCTCCCGGGTATCCGCAGCCAGCTGAAGCCGACCGGCTGTTCTCAGCTTCCTCGGGAAGCCCGGCTTCTCAGCAAGGTCCCCGCTCGGAGCAGATCCATTCTCTGGCTCTTGGTATCCCAGGCACACGGCTTCCTCCTCCGGCGGGCTCCTCCCACAGCCAGCCAGCGAGCGAGTGAGGAGTGACAGAAGGGCTCCTTTCACTGAGGCTGGGGCGGGGAGGGGGGGAGAGGGAGGGGAAACAGGTCATAATTAAAGAGGAAACACGGGGGGGGGGGGGGACAGCTTTGCAGATCGGGCGTGTGTGCGCGCGCGCGCGTGTGTGTGTGAGTGTGAGTGTGTGTGTGTGTGTGTGTGTGTGTGCGCGCGCGCGCGCAAGCCAGGAGTAGGGGGGGGGGAGGTTGTGTTCTCTTCCCTAAATTGTGGGATATTTAGCTGTTTGGTCCCCACCATGGCTCCAAAAAGCATCGCGAGCCCGGAGTAAAGCTTTGAGTTTTTTTTTTTTTTTTTTTTTTTAATTTCTGTCCACAAGATGTATGTAATGTTGTTTAACGGGATTGAAGTTACGGGTGTGCATGGGCATGCATTAAAATGTACATGCTTCGCGTCTGTATAAGGGATTGAAAACTGGGGGGGGGGGGTGCTGCAGGGGAGGGGGGAGAATCTTCTTCCAGCAAAGACTTGGCCAATGTGTCCAGCCAGGGCTCAGGAGTTGAGATGAAGCATTTGCTTTTTTTTTTTTTTTTGGAGACTTTCTAAAGGAAGAAGATAATAAAAGCTGAACGTTTGGATCTCAGTTTGCTTTGCATTGCTCCTAGAAAACAAAATGCAGGAAGGAGAGGGAAAATAAGTAGGTGTGTGACACATACCTATTTGTTATTATTATTATCCTGGTCTGTGTATTTCTTAACAAGGACAGGGGAGCAGCCTGTCTCTTTGCATTCGGAGCGTCTCTCTTCATAAACACTCCATCACTTCAACTGTGGCTTTTCTCTAAAAGGTGTTGGGAGTCTGGTTGTGAAGGAGAGGCCAAGGTCACAGGCAATGGTCTCCTAAGAGCCTGCAGGTCTTTTGCCTGTCATGAAACCCACACTCAAATCAAACTCTATTTCCTTCAGTATATCAACATGAATTTATCTTGGATTATTTTTATCTGCTAGACCTTTTAGGCATGCCTAGAATATAAGCAGTTGCAGGGTGGGTGGGGGAAATAAATAGTAGATACAGCCCACGCTTTCAGGAGTTCACATGTAGAGTGAGGGCAAAGTATACACACCCAAGACACAAACTGCAGTGATATTACAAAGCAACATATAAATATATGCAGTCGTACATTAAGTTGGCAAAGAAGAAGCAAAGAGGGAGGAGAAGGAAAGAATGCTTTCTTGATATATGGCATTTAATACTCAATTATAAAACTAATCGTGACTTTCTTTAGTCACAGGAACTTGGGGAGGTCTGGGGCAGGAACCTCTTGGTCTCTCTTCCCTCATTATCTCCGACTGGGGGTTTTGCTAGCTGCAGAGCATATTTCAACTCTGAACTTCCATGTGAGATATTACATTTAAAAAGATGATCCTTTAGTATTTATGAAGAAAGAAGGATGTCACCACAACGGTGCATGCTGGTAGTTGCCATCCAAGATCTACAAATTAGTAGGTGTCTGCTTTGTTGACTTTTCTATTCTTAACTTAATAGTTTATTTAACTGCATCCCTTAGAGACTGTTAAACATATCAAAGGGAAATTTGTAAACCAGCTTGGAAGCGATGGGGAAGGGGAAATGCTGAGCATCAGAAATTATGAGGGCAAGAAAGAGGCTACCCATCAGCTGAATTAACAAACAAGATACAGGAGCAATGTGTCTGTGTGGCCTTAGTCTATTAGCGGGGTATAACAATGCACTGAAGCAGACAGACACATAAAAGATGAGTAATAATCTCAAAAACGTATGTCCCCCCCCCAAAAAAAAAAACTGTGAAGGCTGAAAACATGGTATGTACAGTGCTGTAATGTGAATACCAGTCTTCTATTAAATCTGTAGTGTGAGGGGAAATATGAGGTCTGGCTACTATTCCTAAAGCCAAGTCTGGCAGTGAATGAAACTAATATTAGAATATTCGTGGTACCTGCCTGAGCAATGTTCCACATTTTCACTAAAGATGTAGCCCCCCCCCCCCCAAGCTGTTGTTTAATTTTCATTGCTAATTCCTAAATGGGCCAGGGCCCAAGTTTAGTTAATTCAATCCTCCAGGGAAGTATTATGAAATAATTCAGGGTCAAGGGATTTTCTTGCAATACACCCTAATCAAGGCACACTTACAGGCCTGTGCGTGCCACATTTGCACACCCACTCACTGGGAAGGAAGACCCGGGTTTCCCCCCTGCGGACCTTGCTTTTCCAAGCCAGTTGGGCCTCATCCCTTTCTCTTCTAACCCCCCCCTCCCCCTTTCCCGGCCTTGTACCCCATTCCTCTCCTCGCTTAGGAAAGGCTTGGATTAAGCAACGCGCTCTGCCCGCCTCTGAAAGGACTAGGAGGCGTTGCAACCTCCAAGTGCCTGAAAAGCCAAGGCAATCTTTGGCGTCCACCTCGTGGGGCAGAGAAGAAGGCGGCGAGCGAGACCTGCGAGACCCACAGTCAGCCGGGCTCTGGCGCCAGCCGCGTCGCAGGCCCCCGCCTCGCCCTCCGGGGAGGCCTGGGTCTCCGCTCACCTCCTGGCCGGCGCTGCCAGGTGGCCTGCGCTCGCGGGGCTGGCGAGGCTGGCGAAGCCCGGCGCGCGGCCGGCCGGCGCGGAGCTCAGGGCTCCACCTGATGGAGAAGCCTGGAGAGTCCTCAGACCTTGGAGTGCTGGCGCCGGGAAGGGGAGGAGGGGGCGGCCGGGAGCGCAGCCAGCGACCTTTCGGGACAGCTACGCGCGGGGGAAACCGGGTCTCTAGGCAGAGCCGGTGGTGGAGCTGGCGGCTCCGAAGAGATGGCCGCAAACGCAACTTCCCAATCCGCCCCAGCTGCGGCCCTGCACATCGCGACTCCAGATCTCGGTGGCGGCCACCGCGCAAGCCCGAGCCCCTCACCAGCAGGTGGCATCCGCTCCAGCATTTCTTTCTCCAGGTTTGTAGCCTAGGAGAAGGACTTCTTTAGGCCCAGCGGCCCTCCCCAGGCCTTCAGCGCTAAGTGCTGTGGGTGACCTTTGCCTCCCCTCCCACTTTCCCCCTCCTGGAGGTGGAAACACGGGTCTCCATGAGCCGGTGCGCGCATGCGCGGAGGTCAGAGCCCACCGAGAACTGGCACCAAACTCAGAAGTTACAGAAGGGCAGAGCTCCACGGGACAGCTTCCAAGCCCTGCTGTCTGGCACACAAGCATCCCCCCTGACGTTTCTGAAATCTGGAACAACCAACGAGGTGCAAGATGGTGTGTCTCCTTTGAGGGAGGGAAGGTGGCGGGGTGGTGGTGGTGGTGGGACACATTGTTCAGGGACCCCAGCAGGCTGGTGTTCAGACAGACCAGGGGGGCTCAGGTTCGTCCCCACTTTTCAGTGACCTTTTCCTCATTTATTGTCCCCTGGATTTGGGCAGATGAAATCACCACCGCCCCCCCCACCTTTAGGATACTTTAAAGACACGGGCTGGCGCCTGTGGCTCACGCCTGTAATCCTAACTACTAAGGAGGCTGGGATCTGAGGATCATAGTTCAAAGTCAGGTCAGGCAGGAAAGTCCTTGAGGCTTATCTCCAAAACCAGAAACCGGAAGTAGCTCTGAGGCTCCCCTTGAGGTGAAGAGCCAAGGGACAGAGCCCTGGCCCAGAGTTCAAGCCCCACGACCGACCCCCTCTACCCCCCCCCCAACCAAAAAAAGACGCATGGGATGAATGTATGAATTTGAATTCCTGGAAAGTTTGCCTTCCACTTGGGGAGAGGTACACAAAAGTGTATACTGAGAAAAAAATAACACCTAACCAACTAGCTTTTTAATTCGACTGAAGTTGCCCTGGAAGTCATCTTCCAAGGCCCTTCCAGAGGATTCTTCTAGGGTCTTGTTTCCTTCCTTCCTTCCTTCCTTCCTTCCTTCCTTCCTTCCTTCCTTCCTTCCTTCCTTCCTTCCTTCCTCCCTTTCTCTTTCTCCCTCCCTCCCTCCCTCCCTCCTTTCCTTCCTTCCTTCCTTCTCTTTTTTCCTCCCTTCCTTCCTTTCCTGCTCCTCCTCCTTCCCACACCATCTTTCTTTGTTGCTTTTTGTTTGCTTGTGTCAGTACTGGGGCTTGAACTTAAGACCTCACACCCTCCCTTGATTTTTTGCTCAAGGCTGCTGCTCTGCCACTTGAACCACGCCTCTCCTTCTGATGTGCCCTCCTAGATGAGCCCTCTCACTGTGCTTGCTAGAGGACATGCTGGAAGCAACAGAGCTGAAATGTCAGTACAAGGCCCTGGTGTCTCTGCAGTCCTGTTCCTGGGTTTCCCACTTGCTCAGACCATTCCTGGCTCCCTCTTCACTGTCTCGCAGTGTTCCTGGGTATCATCCCCACCCGTGAGGAGAGGGGGCAGTTCCTTTCTGAGCAGCCTATCAGCACTAGCAGAGAATTTCCTGCTTAATGTCTCTTCCTGAGATTTGTTGCACAGATACATTAGAAACCACATTCTCTTTTTATTTTCCATACATCCTGCCCGTACTGGTTAAAACCTTGTTGCCCAGAGACTTAACACATTTTGAATAGGCCCCTACTGAGAGCTCAAGGGAAGCTGACTCTCCAGTCCTGGTTAAGTTAATAAGAGCTAGAAGCTACATGCACTTGCAGAAATGAAATGGTCTTCAGGGGTCCTCTCT